GAATTTGAAAAAAATCACATTTTATTTTTCACTAAAGAGGGGTTCGGTGAATGCGCATATGAAACTGGTGGGGTTCGGTACCTCCAACAAGGTTAAGAACCACTGTTCTATAGTAAACAGTAAACACGTGGTCACAACACTATAGTACTGTAGTAAACAGTATACACGTGGTCACAACACTATAGTACTATAGTAAACAGTATACACGTGGTCACACCACTATAGTACTGTAGTAAACAGTATACACGTGGTCACAACACTATAGTACTGTAGTAAACAGTATACACGTAGTCACAACACTATAGTACTGTAGTAAACAGTATACACGAAGTCACAACACTATAGTACTATAGTAAACAGTATACACGTGGTCACAATACTATAGTACTGTAGTAAACAGTAAACACGTGGTCACAACACTATAGTACTGTAGTAAACAGTATACACGTGGTCACAACACTATAGTACTGTAGTACACAGTAAACACGTGGTCACAACACTATAGTACTGTAGGAAACAGTGTACACGTGGTCACAACATTATAGTACTATAGTAAACAGTATACACGTGGTCACAACACTATAGTACTGTAGTAAACAGTATACACGTGGTCACAACACTATAGTACTATAGTAAACAGTATACACGTGGTCACAACACTATAGTACTATAGTAAACAGTATACACGTGGTCACAACACTATAGTACTATACTCGTCTTGCAAAACACTCGCAGACCAAGTTACTCGCAATCCAAGGTTTCACTGTAGATCACGACGTTTCGATCGCAACACAAGCAATCGTCTTCAGGTGAAATAATACAGCAGGCGGACTGCTGAGACAGGAAGAAATGTAGCGAGAGAGCTACTGCAACCAAAGGTTACACTATATACGTTTGTGGTGGGATTTGCAAGTAAATGTAAGATCGCAGAGCAAGCATACCCCGGCTAATCCCTCGGCTACTCCGAGGGGGAGTGGGAGCGGAGGGGCTGCCGTAACGGGCGAGATAGTGGGGGTGAAATTTACAGAGGGTACAAGCTGATAGAAAAAAGATCAAACTCAGCAAACTTAGAAATGTAATGCAACTCATTGAGTCGGCCAACACACCAAATAATACTTTGCCTGGTTGATCACCGTCCTTCTCTGCTTGTGTGTCTGTGTGTCTCCCTGTTGTGGGGAGCGGTGGTGCAGCTGTTAGCGCTACGCTGCGCTATGAACCTGGCGACCCGGGTTCGATTCCTGCTCACGGCCAACACCAGTGACGATTATCTGAACCGGTCCCGGGCCTCCCCTAGGTCTACTCAGCCTCAAATGAGTACCTGGTGCGGTGTGTAAACATCGCCACTAGGGAGACAAAGGCGGTCGGGCGTGGTGCTGGCCACCCACCCCCTCGTGTACTGTTCCGGCCTTCATAGGTGCTCGCTAACAGCACTTGCCCCTACAGTCTGTTCAGGCTATACGGGGGATCTTTGTGTCTCCCTGTCTGTGTTTGGTCTCTCTCTCAAATTTAGTTTCACCTGATGACGACTGCTTGGGTTGCAATCGAAACGTCGTATTCTATTATTTATTTTATTTTCTTTCTACGTGACTTTACCGAAAGACCATTGAGTAACAACAGTGTTTTTAAGAATCACAGCTAAGAGACAAACAGCATTATATTTTCTACTAAACATAACATTTTAATAACATGTAAAAAAATACTTTAAATCTCATCACTGCTCCTCATACTCAATCCGTGATCAGTGCCGGATTATCCTCGGAACAAAATAATCATTAGCTGTGGGCCCCGCACTTTCAAGGGCCCCGTGGTAAATGATCTCACGCTATAAATCCCGGTTCAGTGATTCTGTACTTGCTCTATTACTATAGTAAAATTACAATTACTTTACTATGCAAGTTAAAAACTTCGTGTTTCAATAATTGTGTTTTTTTCATTATTTTGGGCACCTTTATAATATAAGCTACAGGACCCGCACGAGCTTAATCCGGCACTGTTCGGGATACTGTTCCAGTGCCCAACCAGGCTGTTGAAGACACCGTGAGTGGAGTTGAGGGGGATCGGTGGAGGTGTGAAGGGGGCGAGTGATGCCGACGGGCTGCGAGGGGGTCATCCGAGAGGGTGCCCAGTGGGGAGATGAAGCAATGAAATCGATCCACGTGCAGGTGCTGGGTGGATTACTGCACAGCGGCATCGTGGGAGGTGGCGACGGCTCGTGGAGGTCTCTACCCACTAGTGGATTGACCATGGCTGATGGTGGTGATGATGATGGATGTTGCTCACTCACTTGGCGACGTATGAAACGCCAGAGATGCACGGCGATGTGCAGGGTGTTCAGCGGCACGGTGGAGCTGATGGCCTCCTTGCAGCCGCTGTACAGCTGACCCACAACGTGGAGCAGAGCAGGGAGCATGCTGTCCACTATGGCCTGGCAGCTGCTGCTCAGCTCACCCATAGCCTGCAGTAGGGCAGGGAGCACGCTGTCCACAATGTCCTCACTGTGGCTACTGCACAGCTGACCCGCAGCGTGCAGGAGAGGAGTCGGCGCGCTGTGCATGAGCCAGGACATCCCGTGGGGCCAGGCTGGGCCGTCCCTCTCTTGTCCATCTGCGTGGCCGCTAGTGAACATCGGTCCCCAGGTGGCGACCCCTGCTGGTGCAGAGACGTTCTTCATGAGTCCCGAGTAGTTGATCGTGGTGGTGGTGGTGGTGTTGGAGCCGTGGATGTCCGAACCCCCACGCCGAGATCCTCCGAGGAGTTCCACCATCGGCTGCGTGAGCAGCAGAACCACAGTGAGGACAGCCGTGAAGATCGCCATGGTGGTGGTGGCGAAGTTCTCTGAAGACCTCGAAGTGGAGGAGCAGCGTGGGGCGAGGTGGTTGCCTCTGCAGGAGCCGACTCCACTCTGGCCTCTGCCGTGACGTCACCGGGCCATGACGTCACCGTGATGTCAGAGCTTTCCACGGCTCTTTCGTCATTATAGCATTCCGCACGTGGCTGTGCAATGGAACATCACCACGTGATACACTACAACACTGTATTGTTTATAGAATTGTAATACAATACTAATTATTCACATCTGAGACACGAGTGACGCTCTAGATTCTGTGCGGATGGAGGAAGCCGCTGGGAGCAGCTGCGTCATTCTGGACGCTTCTGGCTGCCCCTGGCATCTGCTCGTAGCTACTGCCAGGGCTATAAAAGCAGCTGTGGTGCCGCCGCAGCGGAGCCGCTCCAGCGGAACCGCGCCCGCTACCGCGGCGCCATCACCTATGCCGCGGATTTCCCGCCACTCTCCCGGGGCCGGTGCCTTCTCAGACGTCCGCGTTTTGGCCCCTGCACAGTCGTGAGGCCGCTGCAGCAGGGCCACTCTGCCGAGGTCGTGGCCACCGCTGCAAAGCCGCCACCGGGGGGATGTCGACGCCGACGCTGCGCACCCTCACCACCCCCCCCCCCCCACACACGAACGTACACACGCCCCACGTAGAGCCAGGAGGGGAGGTCACCCGGCTGATAGGTTTTTGTCCAGAAGTCCCTAGTGGGATCGAACCTCATGGTTTCCTGCGGCCGGGAAATTGGGCGATCCTCCCCCCTGTAGCTGACATGCACTGCGGCGCCGCGACCTGATATTAAAGTTGCATGGTCGCGGCAAGGGCCATCGAACCACCGCGAGTGGAGCCTCACACATGCACGGGTCAGTGGACTGGTAGCGGGAGAACAGAGAGCGGACGTCGGTGAGATCACTGCGGCGACGTCATCTGAGCTGGGATCCGGACATCGAAAGGGCGGGAGAATCCGAGCTCCTGATTGGACGGGAGGCCAAGGGTCGGAAAGAGCAAAAATTCCTTTGTTGTAGGTAGGATAAAAAGGGGGGGGGGGATCGGGGTAGCAGGGGGGTTCTTCTGGTTCAAGATCATCGCGGTCCCGGGAGCAGGAGAGTCAGCCATCCGAGACGTCCGTGAGACGTACTCCGGCATCGGCAGGCTCGTCGCCTCATTCCCTCACAGCGGTCAGTACATCGGGGAGAAGTAAGTACGAGTGAGAGAGGCGTAAGTTCAGCCGTTTTACATCCAGGATAGAGAGCGGGGCGAGCGGTAGGGGAAATCGACTCGTAGACCTCCGAGGGATAGGTTAGCGTCCACTGACCATACCATCACAGGTAAATAAAATTCGCTAGTGGGGGGAAAAACAACTGTGTTGCGTGGTCTTTTGGGAGCGTGAAGTGGAGGGCAGTGTGCGCTGGGTGTCTACGTGTATGCGCGGCTGTGCACCTCGAGACGAAGCGGGTGGTGTTTACGTGCCCGCACGATTGCCCACCATAGTGCTTAGCGATCGCGTACCTGGGTGGCGGTGCCGCGGTCACGCACCCGCACACGGGTCTGGTCGCGAGATAGCGAGTTAGAGCGCCGAGCGTGCGCGTATTCGCGCGACTGTTTGAGCGGGACCTTTAACTCAGAGCCAAGCGAGCGTCCCCAATCAGCGGCGCGCACGGCAGAAACCCTGCCCGCCCGTCCCCCGGCTCCAACCCCTTCGTGTGCGATTGGTCTGTTTACGGGCAGAGGGTAGGGGCGTGTTTGTTATTGTCGGCACACGTGGAGCGCGGGTGGGAGGGAAACACGCGCCGCGCCTGTTTGTTTACGGGCGGGACGGAGATTTACTGGCGAGCGCGCTTACAGCCCCACCCCGCCTTTGCACAGTGTAACGCATCGCAAGCGCGGAGCGTACGAGCCGATAATTAAACTATGTAAACGCGGTCTACATCCCAGGCAGAGGTACAGGGGGGCGAGACGTTAGGGGTCGTTAGTCTGGACCTGAAGGAGCAGCCGGGGGGTAGCGGTGTGAGTGGAATGGGGGAGTCGGTGAGCAGCGGCCCCGACAATTCAGTGATGGCGGGGGACGGTAGCCCCCACACAGCTCCTGTAGCTGCACTGGCAGAACATCGGCGGAGGAGGGAGCAGCGCTCACAGCTGAAGCGAGCCTCACTGTGAAGTACATCAACAAGCATGGCCCTGAGTGTTTACTTCCCTGCGATGCACGTGATGGAGAGGAGCGTCTGGCCAGGCTGGCCGGTCTGGAACCCCCGCGGTGAAAGTCTCTTCCAGCAGCTGCAGCGAGACATGAGGAGCGAGATCGAGAGGATGGAGAGAATCTTCCGTGGAGTCGATCAGCTCAGCAGCCACACGCGGGCTCCGGGCAGCCTCGGAGACGCACTGCTGCAGCAGCCGGCCGTGAGCATGTGGGTTCCAGATTGAAGATCCACAGGAGCAAGGAGGCGGGTTTGTCGCGTCCCTGGACGTGCAGGACTTCTCCCCACAGGACCTGGCCGTGAAGGTGTCTGGAGACAAGCTGGTGGTGGCCGGACGGCGCGAGGTGAAGAGCGGAGAAGTCAGCAGCGGCAGCTACAGCCACAGCTGCCAGGAGTTCCACAGGGAGACGCAGCTGCCCAGGGACGTGGACCCGCAGAGCGTGAGCTGCTGCTTGACTGAAGACGGGAAGCTGAAGTTCAAGGCTCAGCGCCGCGCCCTCCCTGCAGCGGCCGAGAGGGTGGTGGTCATTGAGCAGCCAGCGACAGCGACTCCTGGCACGGCCTCTCAGTCCACTGGCACCACTCACGCGTAGAGTGGCGCCTGGAGCATCCATTCCAGCAGCCTGCTTTATTGATGTTTCAATTGTATGGATATTTAGATAAATCAGTTTCTTCTATCCACGCTATGTTCAGTAATATTTACGTGTTTCAGCGTTCACATTCAACTTCATTGGATTAAGTGTATCGCTGTAAAGGATTGTGAAATCGTATCGCTTCGTTTTAATTTGCCATTACACGTTCATATATTGCAATAAGATAATGATGAATGTTATCTTCAATTATTTTTCATCATTACACATGACTATTTTGCACAGTCTAATTTTCGAACTACTATAATACTATAGTGTTTGTGTGAATGGTAAATGATGTTTTTTTTGTAATAAAATGCCTTTCAATTTCCTGCAACAGTTGCAACTGTTCTTTTTTCTACATTGTGTTTGTTTCATCGTTACTGTGGATCAGAGTTCTGGACACAGAATTCCCCAAAACTAAGACAACCGGTAACGCGGCCTCATTGCTCCCTGTCCGTGACAACTCCGAAGGTGCCAGGCTCACGCCGTCGGCCCTGCCGAGTCACTCCGCACTCAGAATTTGGGATTGGCTTGCAATTGTCTATGATCAATCTTACCACTTCACATTTCACTTGTATCATCCTTCAATTGGTAGTAAATCCTTCGCTAAGGAATTGGTCCTCAAATCGTGGGGTCAAGCGTACCACAGAAAAATTAGTTGCCGTTTAATGTTTGCGACACAGAGAATGTAAATAGTTACATGACAACATCGCTGCTGTAGCAGTGTAAGTCACGCTGCTATTAAAATATTCTATGTCTCGAGTTTCCTGGCTGGCTGCTGGCTGTGCTTCTCTCCACCCCAACAATAACTCCGTTGTTAGTGGGTGCAGGAGACAATAGGGACACCAACAAGGTGGGAATTACCAGAACAGAATTTGAAGACTGACACGGCTAATTTAAAATTGCACTTTCAATGTATGCGCCAATTAACGTCATTCTTTTTGAAAAAATAACTTGTTCTATCCTAGAGATTTAGAAACTAAACCTTAGGACATTAAACTAGTACATTAAAATGTACGATTAATTGTAAAGTTAGCAAAATAAATAAATGATCTAAATCATATACTATATTCTTGGTTCTTTCGATAAAGTCACGTAGAAGGGAAACAATAAAATAATAAAGATATAAAACAATAAAATTCTCACAAGTCAAAATTCATATACTGTTGATTTATTCTCTCCATCTCCGCAGTTGACACTGCCGGTTGTGTTCCCTCCTTAGCTCCCATTCCCACGTTAGTCTCGACCACCGGCCTTCATCACTTCAAGTTGCGTGTCCTGCCTCACCCCACCATTCTAAACTAAAATTACGTCCTTAATTTGCATATGATGTCCAATTGACGTGTCCGTCTTCCAGTATCAGTGTAATTCTTAGGATGTGCATCATCTCTACGCTTCCTTGTGCATTTCTAAACATTGGTTCTATTTTCCGTTTGTGATGCATCTGTTTGAAAAAAAACGTTCTGCCTAAGGCATATGGCTCAGTTACGTTTCATTTCGATTTAAAGCTTTCGTGATTCCAAGGATTAATATTCTTTGGTTCTTTCGGTAAAGTCACGTAGAATGAGAATACAATAATAAATTGATAAAATAAAATAACACAATAAAATTCTCACGACGTTTCGGCCACAACACAAGCGGCCTTCATCAGGTGACGGGACGAGACTGTCTGGAGGACAGCGCTGGAGCGAAAAAGCCACGCTCATATCGCGACCTTTAAGCTGTGTGAGAAGCAACAGAGCGCCTTGACAAAGGAATTAGCATAGAATTTAGCATTGAAACAGCTGAGTGATTAGCGTTTCATTATTAACGTGTCATTATTAAGTCAAGATAACAATAAGCACTTTGCTCTGCCCTGATACGCCTCTCTTAATCATTTTCATCCCTCTTCCCCTTCAACAACCGCCCTACGTGTAAATGCACTTCTATGTTTTCAAGGCTGTGTCCCTGTTCTTTTTGCGTTCAGTTTGTTATTCCCCCGCACCTCCAATTAAAGCATGGTTGGCTGCGTACGGTGCGAAAGAAGTTCACCATGCAAACATACGCTGCGTTGAAAAATGATTCTACTGACTGCAGACCAAACCTGGACAGATTTCTCAATACGAGTGCAATATCGAGGGTACAGATCAATACCACCTGAACACAGATGCTAATTCCCGGACGGGTGGCAACTCTAGCCATGCCCATGAAAACATACACAACATCTTGACCATGAATCGCCTATGCGGCAGATTAAATGTCAAACATTTAACATTGAATTCCGATCTACTATTGTTCGTTTTGATTTATTTTGGCGCAGTTTCAAGTAAGTCTTTTTGATATAATTATTGTATTGTCATTTACTGTATAATTATGATAATAGACCAAGCACTGAGACATTGCCCAGGGTTGGTCTACAATCGAAAAGGTGGCAACCCCATAGTACATCCTAACGTGTTCCAGTGTTAACACATCGTATGTTTGTATCTTGAACTTCTTTCGCACCGTACGTAGCCCACCGTGCTAATCGGAGGTATGAGGTGAGCGGGAATCGAACTCGTGTAGTCGGGGTTCGTAGCGCAGCGTGCTAAACGCTAAACGCTGCGCCACCGCTCCCCCCACAACACACGCGCACAGCAGCTCCAGAGAGCAGCTTTTGGGTCAGAGGTAGCCACATTGCACTGGGGCCGTCCATAAATGACGTCACGCACCGAGGGGGGGGGGGAGGTCAGACATTTGTGACGATGTGTGACGAGGGGGGGGGGGGTTTGAGAAATGTGACGTCACCTCAAAATGCGCAACTTTAATTAAATATAGACAACACGTTCTACATAATTAAATAGGCTTTTTAACAAATCTTTTCTTCTACAACATCAGAGTGCAGCGCCACATTAAATACGCACTACAATGACGATAGTTTAAAGCGATGTGAAACATGTATTTTTGGGGAGGGGCGGCGCACAGCTTTGTGACGTCATATTTGAGGGGGGGGGTCTGACTTTTTGTGACGCCGTGTGACGATGGAGGGGGGGTCAAAAATCGTCCAAAATCGCGTGACGTCATTTATGGACGCCTCCACAGCGTGAAATAGCGCAACAAACCGAACCCACGTACAGCGAGGGTAAGCCCTGGCCTGGTTTATCATTAATTAATCTCCAGTTAAGTCACAAACGAATCTCTTAGAGCCGAAGGCGCGATCCAGTATCACGTTGGCATGCCGTGTCAACCCGTACCGGGTTACCCCGTATTCGTGTACAGGGAGATTGAGTTTTCAGGTTCATACGGCTTACTACAGCCGTTTCAAAACGGGCAAACCAATGTTTTGTTTGATGGGACTTTGTAGGATGAACGTTGAGATTTGTAAGGGGCACGGGGTGACCAATAAGGTCTGAATTGGTCTGTAATAAGAGAGGCAATGGTTAGGGGTTGACAGGTGTGCGTTGGCACTGCGTGCCACGTCGCGTTGTCATACAGCTGACACTCCGATGAGCAATGATTCGGCGACGCACGGTGCCAATGGGGCCGTCCATAAATGACGTCACGAGATTTCTGACGATTTTTCACCCCCCCCCCCCCCATCGTCACGCGGCGTCACAAAAAGTCAGACCCCCCATCAAATGTGACGTCACAAAGTTCTGCCCACCCCCTAAAAAAATAAAACATGCTTCAAATCGCTTTAAACTATTGTCATTGTAGTGCGTATTTAACGTGGCGCTGCACTCTGATGTTGTAGGAGAAAACATTTATTAAAAAGTCTATTTAATTAAGTAGAACGTGTTGTCTATATTCATTTAAAATTGCGCATTATGATGTGACGTCACATTTCTCAAACCCCCCCCCTCGTCACACATCGTCACAAATGTCTGAACCCTCCCCCCCCAGGTGCGTGACGTCATTTATGAACGGCCCCAAAAAGTTCAACATTCGTGCGTATCCGCCGTGATGTGGGGCGAAGTTTAATTCTAATCTTATTATCCGCGATGCCTGCAGGATTAGCTTTTTTATTCTTCGTCTGCCAAAGCAGATGATTAATGAGAATATTGATGAGATTTCCCCCAGCGCATGTTGGCTGGGGAAGGGCTGTTTAAGACCCGCGGTGAACCCGCTCATCTCCACGTATCGGCATGAAATGAAAAATCGCGGATTTTAGGAAGCGCGTTCGTTTCAAGTGGATGCTTGTTGTCAACACCGCCACATTGACAGCACTCGCAACCATCCCATACTCAATTGAAAACTCTTCTTAAGTAATTGCTTATTGTGTTTAGTTTCTTGTCCTTACCTCATACCTCCGATTAGCACGGTGGGCTACGTACGGTGCGAAAGAAGTTCAAGATACAAATATACGATGTGTTAACACTGGAACACGAGGGTGTGCTATGGGGTTGCCACCTTTTCGATTGTAGACCAATCCTGGGCAATGTCTCAGTGCTTGGTCTATTATCATAATTATACAGTAAATGACAATACAATAATTATATCAAAAAGACTTACTTGAAACTGCGCCAAAATAAATCAAAACGAACAAAAGTAGATCGGAATTCAATGTTAAATGCTTGACATTTAATCTGCCGCATAGGCGATTCATGGTCAAGATGTTGTGTATGTTTGCATGGGCATGGCTAGAGTTGCCACCCATCCGGGAATTAGCATCTGTGTTCAGGTGGTATTGATCTGTACCCTCGATATTGCACTCGTATTGAGAAATCTGTCCAGGATTGGTCTGCAGTCAGTAGAATAATTTTTCAAACGCAGCGTATGTTTGCATGGTGAACTTCTTTCGCACCGTACGCAGCCAACCATGCTTTAATTGGAGGTGCGGGGGAATGACAAACTGAACGCAAAAAGAACAGGGACACAGCCTTGAAAACACAGAAGTGCATTGACACGTAGGGCGGTTGTTGAATGGGAAGAGGAATGAAAATGATTAAGAGAGGCGTATCAGGGCAGAGCAAAGTGCTTATAATGTTAATGCTCACCCCGAG